AACGGATTTCTAGAGTAGGTTGTGTAGGAATTCAAATTATTATTTTTATTAACAATATTATTGTAAGAACCAAAAAGAACAAACCCGCCGTACGAATTAACTTAACACATGGCTCGACGTCCGCCGTCGACATGCAAGATCAGTAGCAATATAATAATTGTACGTGTCTTTGACATTTGAAATTTAAATATAAGATTTAATAACTGATAATAGTTTTATAAAGTCTTAATTTCGAAAGCACAAGTTATTTGCACGTTACACTTTGCACAAACGTCATTTTAGCCAGCAGTTATGTTATTTTGTACGAATATATAGTATATTTGATACATATCGGGTAAGTTTATAGATAATAAACGGATTTTTCTTAAAAATTATTGTTTTTATGACTTTTGTTGCTGATTAATAAACCCTATTCATTCATTCACCATACATAATATAAAAAAAAAAATTGAGAATTCATGTAGTTTTGTTGTTGTAAGTTCAACAAACAACTAATAGCAATAAAAATAACTTACCTAGTTGTTATTTTTTCAGAACTTTTGCTAAATATTAAAATGAAAATTCCTAGACCTACTATGACATAAGTACCTATTTTATTTATAAAACGTAATATTATTGTATACCGTAGTTAGATGCCACTTTTAATTATATCACAGCATTCAATTGATTTCCATAAATTTAAAAAGCCTCTGTGCTCACTTCCATTATGTTAGTTTCCATTTTCCTCTACACAAATAAAAAATAAATTTATTCAAAGATTACATTGTATTAGTCGAGTTGCGATTGCATAACTCGAACTAGTTAAATTTCAACTTGATATTAATCCAAGTTATCATCCATAACAACACTAACAAATCTATTCTCTTTGGTTTAACGTCATGAATTGACGTTTAGATCCAACAATTTGTGCTGCCATCTAGTATTATAATTTTTTGTAGTTTCTTTATTTTTTTTAAATACTTCCTCATTGTGCGACAGAGACACACCAAGAAAAAAGATGTCTCACTTGAGCTCATTTCTCTATGTAGATAATGGTTATTTAAAAAACACTTTATTCACATATCATTAAGGTTCATTTTGATATGTCAAAAAGATCGCAGTTAGCATTCCAGTTGTACGTAGTACTTATTAATTCTATGTTCTGCACTTTTACACAGATAATATATTTTTCAATGCAGTTGCTCCACGAATGTCAATTTAAACTGGATTGTGCAGTGTTTCATTAAAAACGGGCAGAGTGAGAGAGTAAATTAGTAACTCTTCATCTCTGTCTTAGTAGTTTTGTAGGATATCCACGCGTTTTTAATAATTTCATAAATAGGTAATATTTAATAATGTTTACATGACCAAATTTAAACATTTACAGATATAATTTTATAAATTTTTACAGATATTATGAATGATGATGTTAGAAATTTAACCGATAAATTAGTTTTTATTTATCGGTAAAGATATTTATTTTGTAGGAAGTAAAACAAGTACATAAATGTTATTATAATCATCTATAATGTATAAATCAATTAAAAGGATAGAAATGTTTTTTTTTTCCTATTAATTGTATTAGAATACAACGGATCACTTTGCCTGGTATTATTGTCCTCCATTTTTCAGCTAGACTTTTATCCTTTAGGATCCTAGAAACATAAGAGCAATTTTGTCATGGTCAGCATAAGAAAATTATTACTTTTAAAATATTTATCCAAACTAATGTGTAGGCCATTCCGATATTTTCCAAAACATAATTAAGCTAGTTCTCGTTTTTCATTTTCCAAATAACTTTGTACCTACCGTGAAAATATTGATAACGAAGAATGGCGGGTAGCGTAAGTAAAACTTATAAATGTTTATAATATAAACGTATGAATATTAATTTAAATCAAAGCCTCTTTGATATGGTTTTGTTTCTTGATCGTAGACACCCTATTTCATCACTGTTTAATAAATAAGGAAAACAGCTTACCTGTGGAATGTGAAGTCACATTCGTGATACCATTCATTTTTGCAATCAGCCAAGCAAAACAATATACCATTTTGATGTAAATAATCGAATTAGTAAGTCAAAACACAAATAAACATTAAACTTTAACATTGTTTATGTTGTCACATCGAGTGGCCATATTAATTTATAATATTGCTACTTAGATGTAACGAAAAACTACTAACACGACATCGGTTTACATTATAATTTTAATTAATTCACACTTTTACTTAAAAAACATATCAACTATGTCTATTCAATATATTTACTAATAGATAATAATTAAAATGACCTAGTGATGTCTTTAAAAAATCAATAAAATCTCCTAATTGCCAATAACAATTATTTAATTTTCCAATGGCAACTCGTTAGACAAGGACCTACTACTACAAATCTAATATCTCTAGTAGACCGTTTTTCTACTCTGAAATGTGACATAGAAAAATAAACCTTATTTTATATTAGATAAAGTGTAAGTTTGATTTTAAAAAATATATCAGTACGCAATCCAGTTCAAGTTGACATTCGTGAGTTGCTCATAAAGCGCAATTTTTTTAATCCATTGAAAACACCGAAAGTGAGTCTTTAAACACGTGTTAAATAAAAATGTACTGAAATCCTTTACTGCACAAGTGCTTAAAAGTATTTTTTTAACTTTTTTTGGCTGAGCACCAAAGAAATTAAAAAAAAATTATGACAATATGTCAAACTTTAGAGGCAAAAGTATTTCAAGGAGCCTAAAATGAATATTTTCAAATAAAAATGTATGGCACGAAAACATGTTCAAATATCATGTTAAATTTTTACCTTTAAGACTCATTTTCGGTGTTTACAATGGATTAAAAAATAGCGCTTTATGAGCAACAGCATTGAAAAAGTACTTTTAGTGCCGTAAGTTAAAAAAACATCTCAAAGCCTGGTTATTGAAAAAAGCATTTTAGTCTGGCAGAATCATAGAATAATAGTACTCCTAAGGCAGAATTTTTCGATACTAATTTATTAAAACAGTAAATTCTGTTTCATTTTTTTTAAATTATCTTTCTTATTAACGTTTCATTTTTAATTCCATAATATTTGTTATCAATCAATTTATTAAAGTCGGAGTAGCTCGGTGGCGTAGTGGATAAACGCCGTGGCCCGCGATCGTAGTCGTTAAGCAACTTTCGCAAGGGTCGGTTACGGGATGGGTGACCAAAAAAATTATTATCTCGAACTACTCCGTGCTTCGGAAGGCACGTTAAGCCGTTGATCCCGGCTGCATTTGCAGTCGTTAATACCCTCCTCCTTAACCATCCATAAGGAAGGCCTGAGCCCCTGCAGTGGGGACGTAAAAAGGGCTGGTGTAATTTAAATTGATAATAACAGATATTATGATTTATTTTAGATTGCATATTTAATTTTGCATATTAGATTGGGTGCACTGTTGTGACCAATTATGAGATAAGATCTGCAAATTATGTATGTACACAGTACATCAATACATATATTCTTATTGTTTCACTTTTTTAAATGCTTACTCATTAAGGAGGTCAATAATTTTGGAAAAAAATTAACTGCCTTTCTAATTACGGTATGGAAAATCCTACTCACGGTATGGTAAAACATGCTTACGGTAAGGAAAATCCTACTTCATCATCATCATCACCAGCCCTTTTACATCCCCACTGCAGGGGCTCAGGCCTTCCTTATATATAGTTAAGAAGGATGGGCCATGACCCTCCACGCTGCCCAATGTGGATTGGGGGGTATTAACGACTGCAAATGCAGCCGGGATCAACGGCTTAACGTGCTTTCCGAAGCACGGAGTAGCTCGAGATAATAATTTTTTGGTCACCCATCCCGTGACCGACCTTTGCCAAAGTTGCTTAACGACTACGATCGCGAGCCGCGGCACTTATCCTCTACGCCACCGAGCTACTCCTACTTAAGGTATGGAAAATAATAAGCACTACTGATTTTATATTTATCGAAAGGAATTGTGATTCAACATCTTCCCTGAGGTAATACTAGAATCTAATTTATTATTATATTATTTGCTGTACCTTTCCTATAAGACATTGAAGCGTTTCATCTATAATATGTTCAGATTCTGATTAATACTACCAGAAGATTGATTTGAATATACAAAACTAGTTTTATTTACACATCGTACTTGGTGATGAGTAGTGTTTACATAAATAATCTAGAGCACAGAATATATCTAAAGTGAGTGCGTAAAGAATTTGTTTTGAGATTTATATTATTATTATTTATTACTCCGTTACGACACAGGCACGAATAGCCAATTTACGTAGTTTAGGAGTCTGTGGCGTTGCTGTACTGACGTCAGTCCGGCAGCCAGGGCTTGGAAACCGGTTAATTTTTTGAACCAGTTCGACGTAAGTACATGCGAAACTTTATATAGAAGGTTCAGCTCCATTGAACAGGTTTTTAAATCGGTTCACTAGAAATACGGTTTTCTTCATTAACCGGTTTAAATATGACTCCAAACAATGATCTCACAAACTTCAGCGCGGTTTTTAAGTGCCTTTACTCCTATCTATAACATCCGTACACAGGTATAATAGATGTCGTCGCTTAAAAATCATATAATTCGCATTAAAAAAGTAAGAACATTGCTTTTCACGAATCCGAATTTCACTCCGCATTTAGTTCCGATCCGGAACGGAACATTATAAGAGAACAGGTTTTACCTAAATAACAACGGTTTATTCTGAACCGGTTTCAAGCCCTGCCGGCGGCGTCACAGCCATAATAACTTTATGTTATAATACTAGCAAACCTATGATTTATGACGAGATTTTATTAAAATACACGCCTTCCTTTAATCCTATATGTATACCAGTTTGCGACATAATGGTTATAATTCGCGTTGTTATATATAGAGAATATTTAAAAAAAATTGTAGTGCTGGGCTGACGGGATTGAATATTCTGGTCTCATATTAACATCGATTTGGGTTTGAACCAAGGACTAGGCACTACCATTTTACATGCCTTTATAAAAAAAATAAACAAGACATAAAAAAATAATTCATTTATTAAAATTTCATAGTATAACGATCGACCGCCATTCTGGATAATAAAGTTAACAAAAGTTTGCACCAAGATAAAAAAATACAGTCAAGTTTTATGTAGAAGTCCAGTGATTCTCAAAATATATGTAAAAAAATGTAAATTGAACATTCGATTAAAAAACTTATTTCTTATGTAAAGTTGTTATTCAGAAATACAAAGATAATACACGCCTATGGTCAAAAAATACTTTGGATGACATAGAAAATAATACAAAATTTTTAACAAATCTGGAATTAAAACTTATTTATAAAAAAAAATACCTAAAGTACAGTCACAGACTAAAACAAATAAAACATGGTATTATTCGTTGCAGTAGAATCATAGAGCTATTATTATACACAGAGCAGGAAAATCACGCCTCCATTTAAGCATAGAGAAGAGACAGCTGTTTGTATGTTTTGTGTGTGTGATTTTACAGGCAGACATGTCTTTCCTACTCTAAAATACCTCAAGTAAACAGTCAAATTAATATTTCATCTAAAAACAACACATTCTTACACCCAGAAACTTTATGCTTCAAATAAGTTTTTATTTATTCAGTCAACACTCGTATGTTAGCGGATTTCTTTAAAATCTATGTTTGAGAATCTACATAGAACCTTAAAAAAATCCACCTATGTTACTAATTTATAAGATGTGTGATGTTTGAGAACCATGAGTGTCAAAATATAAATAAAAAAAAACTGATTCGTGGAACGTCAATTTAAATGCTGTTTCTTCAAACCCTTTGGAGCGGCCAACGTTCAAGCATTCCTGAAATAAAGAAAAAATATTTTTTCTCAATTAATGGACATATAAATAATTGGACGTAGTTAATCAAAAAGGATCCATCCCACACAATGTCACTTTTAAGATATAGATGATTGAAGTTTATGTAACATTTTTGTGTATTATATTTTTATCTAATGGCATAGAAAACCACTTACATTATCTTATTATAATGTCATTTTAACAGAACTAACAATATTTATTAAAATGTAAAAGTTAAAGTATGTTTGGATCTTTTTTGATATATTTAGGTTTTAATTACCCTATTCTCACAAAACAAATCTCAAAAACGATCCGAATAAGGAAATAATAGAATAATTAACTGAAACGCCAAAATATAATTGTAAAAACTATTTATTAAAGGTTCTTTATATTTATTGTTTTAATTTTTAATGTCAAATGTATTCATACTATCTAAAATTACCTTCCTACACCTTTTAATAAAATTACCTTTTAACAAAAATGATTCAAGCGTTTTGAACCTTTATTGTGATTTTTAACCAAGAGTAGTGCCTTTAATTTGTTATTTTACTATATGGATCCAAGAAGCTTGAGTCGTTTTCATGGAACTAAAATATAAACCTACCAAAGATGTGGGATGGTAACTACCATTGAAAAACGTCAAATATTAAATACATCTCAGAGCTTTTTTGCTATATGAAAGTACAGATCCTGATGGACATTTTGTTGTATACTTAACTCATTTTCAACCAATTTGTGGGTTTGATCCTTTTTGAGTACAACGTCCAATTTAAAAATTAAAAACACGACTGCCAATAATGAACTAAACAAAAGATATAAGTTGTATTATAGTTTAGGTAAATAAAATTCTAATTGCAGCCAGGGGAATATTCTGTGGAACATTTGTTATATAAGAAACTGCTTTGAGGTGGCCGCTACACCTCCCCTCTTCACCGCACCGAAAATTTAGGCAGACCATCCGAGTACCGTCAACAAAGACATAACGTACGGTTGTTCGTACCGGCCGATATTGTCGCTTCTAATTTTTTTATTAACTTTGTTAAACTTAACGTAAAGAATATAAACTCCCAATCCGTCTTTAACTGGGGGAAAGTTAAGCAGAGTTAATTTCTTTGTCGACGGTACCAGTTGATGTATAAATGACGTCATTTAATAACAATCGTCGATGGTCAATGAAACGAACGGCCAGTGCAAATCTTAAAACTATTATTTGACACATTTGTTAATGAAGACCTTTGATGATATGAGAAGAGAAAGAAATCTACTCACCTCACTCTACAGCAGACGCATCCAAGTTCATGTTAACATAACTGGCCCCCATAAATTCTCGATGACGAGTGGAAATAACGTGCTTCTTAGCATTCTCCCCTTCAGGCACATCAGCATCACAAATTCCACATTTCAACTTTCCAAAATCATAATATACATACTTATTTCTAGTCAACATAATAATATTGTGTTTCAACTCCAAGTAGAAACGGAATACGCACTCCGAGGAAGGTTTCTGAACGAAATGATCAGCGTAAATCAAATGAGCGAGCAACGATCGAATAGAATTGAAGACCTCTTTGCAAGAAACACAGTTGAATGTATTACCTTCGCTGTGCAAGATATAGTTGCCGTGCATATAGACGCTTATAATGTCCCCCTTATTCGCAAACACTTTCGCCTCCGCCATAGAATTTTGGTGATCGATGTTCGATAAGACGTGGTTGACGACGTCAAAGTTATTCTGGAAAGTGATGTTGCATATCTCACATTTAAAAACGTCGGCAGATGTGATTTTGTTGGCAGATAACAACTCCTGGTCGACAGCTTCAGCATAAAGTGCTGAGCGGATCATTTTCGCGAGAGTTTCGATGTGATCTACGCTTTCGAAATGCTGAACAATCGCTGAGAACGATGGCACGGCCACATAATTCGGGCATAACGTGCAAACGTAGAAATTGCCGAAGCTCGCGTAATATTCCGAGGGCCTGCAATGATTTTTGTATAGCATAGCCAATTTGAACGGAGCGGCATTTCTCAAATGCTTCTTCTGCCTAATATGATTGAACAAAACTTGTCTGGGACCTTTCAGTGTCATATCACAGCAAGTGCAATAGTTAGCGATCTTTCCAGACGGTTTTATGAAGTTCTCGATGATTATATGGTCTCTATTATTCTGCGGTTTGCCAACGCTAGCCAGGAACTTAGTCCAGTCGAGATCTTTTGGGCCCCATTCGTCGGGAATGGAGCCTTCAGGGTTGTTGGCTCTCATTCTCCTGTACAACTTATCGGACAGGCGGGCCAAGTGATTCTCGTCTAAAATATGGACAGTGGTCGCTTCAATCGAATCTATTGGAACTTTACAAAGGCCACACTTAAGCCCGTTAGCGTCTTCTAAAATATCGTGCCCGTAAAGAAACTTGCGATTCAATTCCTTGATCTTCTCTACCGATCGTTCATCCATCACGAATGATATAAGCTTATCAGCTTGCAAGATACAGGATAAGTTGTGAATATGAGTCTCGCTAAACACGTGGTTTAAAACGCTGTCATATCGGAATCTTAGAGTGTAATATTCGCATGCAACGCAGAAGAAAGCAAGTTTACCGGTTCTGTCATCTACCAAAGACAACAATTTATGATTGCCGAGCAACTTGAGAATGAAATTTTCGATGGGACCGTAGTAACGGTACTTCTTAACCTGATTCTTCACAGGCTTCTCTTGCGTCTGATCGTTTTCATCGGCATCGATGTTCTTGTTAGCATCAGCAGCGAAATTTTGATAAACATTATCCTTAATACTCATGATAATAGGTGCTACCGCACTGGCTTGAGTAGAGAAGTCTATGGAAGCAACGTCTTTGCATAATTTATCATAAGCAGTTTGGTAGAATCTCACGGCGGCATCGATGCTCGCTTCGGAGTTATCCGGAAGATGCCTGATCAACGATGCTTCTAGTTTAGCTAAAAAGGCCCGTTCCAACTTCTCCATTGGCTTAACTAAATGTATGATCTGTTCAAGACTCTGAGCGGGAGTTTCTCCACATTCCATAGCGGACAGTCTTCTAGACATATTCGGTAAGATGATAGGCTCTGCGACATCAACGCTTTCGCGTTTCATCTTCGGCATATGGACATCCAAATTGAAATGTTTCTGAAGACTCTCCATCAAAGGCTCCTCATCGTTCATTTCGATTTCGACATTGCAGTCGATACAGATATGAACTTGTTTAGCATTTTCAGCAGTTAAGAACTCTGCTTTTAGTAATTCAGGTACTTCACTCACAGGGAGACTATTAAAGCGTTGTCTTTGTATTCCGCTCTTTTTTTCAGTCGTGAATATGTATTCTACTTCAACCCCTTCCCGTTTTTGAAGGAACACCCTTTTGTGCGTTTCATTCAAGTTTTTCAGGTAGTTTGTAACGATTTTGTTCTCTTGCGTTAAGGGATGGTTGATAACATTGACGAAATGCCTCACCAGACGTTTCATATCGTCTATTTTGCGAAACGACAGTAATGTCAACTCCGACAACCCCTTAGTTACCTCATCAACCGATTCGTTAGCCATACTGGCGGTCAATTACAAACTCTCGGAAATAATATCTGTACAACGATTCTAAAGATTCTTAGAACTATCAGCGACCTGTCTTGGAGTCAACCAAGATTTGTAAGTCTGGAGAGAAGCTTCAAAAGATGAATAAGCGGTAGATTTTTTAGCCCGTACGATGTCCGAAATGTCGTTAAATGTTGTGCGTAAACTAGTTTTGCTCATTTGATATCCTCAAAGAGAGTTTTGTCAAATTTTGTTGATTGAAAATAAATCTGGTCTTGCTTCATAGACTATCACCGCATTTCAAGATCTGTAACAGAGAAAAAAAGGATGATATGAGTTCTACTTTTATTTAAATTTAAATATTTCGAGGTTTGTTTCCGACATCCATCTCCTAAGACATCTGCAAGTTTATTTTTGGAACTTATTGATCACGTGTGATCTTTTTACGTTCGGGCGGACATTTTTTAAAGTTTTTACTATTAACCGACTGACTTCATTATAAGAAAGTGATGAGGCCTGGGTAAAATAAAACTATTTAGTCTGCCTTTCAGATAATAGAAAAATATCCGATACGTATTTTTAACAAGAATTTAGTTAAGCTTATACCCAAACCGGTTTAAAAATAGTTTCATATTTACAAAATAAATTTTATTGCAGCCGTAACACCGTAGGAAACCAAATTATGTAGAGTTTATCCTTATTTACACAGCAATGAAGAGATAATTGTAACATCAGTGTTGTGTATTCTGAAATATTACTTATTTTAAAGGAATACAGTCTATTTACGATTAAATTAGTGAATGCTATTTTTGTTTAGTTTGTTAAGACATTTAGCCCGACATGTTACACATAATAAGCCTGTGATTCTTGATGTTAGAGACATGAAACTTTGATATGGCTACGGGATTTATAAAATGAGAACTGGAATCTTTCCTATTTATAATATTAGTAAATATAGACAGGTTCATTGATAATAGTTTGTAGCTTTTTTTTCGAGGAGTAGCTCGAATTATTAGTAAACATATTATTTAGCTATTATTTTTTCTCGAGGAGTGGCTCGGTGGCGTAATAGATAAGCGCCGCGTCCCACGATCGTTGTTTTTAAGTACCTTCGCGAGGGTTAGTCACGGGATGGGTGACAAAAAATTACTATCTCGAGTTACTCCGTGCTTCGGAAGGCACGTTTAGTCGCACCTCAGGGCCTTCCTTATGGATGGCCTGAGTCGCTGCAGTGAGTACGTTAAAAGGCTGATGATGATAGCTCATATATCATTAACTAGCATCATAATTTAATATTGTTTTCTCCTTGACTTTATGTACATTTTTGATTGGATGGCGCCCAAGTGAAAATTTCAGGTTTATTTTATATATTTTTGGAAAACATAAGCCATTTTCACTTATAATTATTTAACAAAATAATTTTTATGAAACTAATATTGAAAATATTACACTTTGAAAACTTGAAAAAGGCAGGGAAAATATACTACAAAAACTTGCTACGATACATATGGCGTTAAATTAATCACATAAAACTTACATTATAACAGCTATAAATAATAAATGCACAAATGACCCGTGTGACGTCACTTAGCGCCTTGAATTTGGAGGGAGCGTATTCGGCCGACTAGCAGCAGTTCCACAAACAGAACTATCTCCTAAACTATTAATCGCAGACACGCTGCTACTTCTACATTATTTCTCAGATATTAATGGACTATTTATATATAAACTAACAAAAAAAGGTTGTCAACTAGCCTTTTGTGGATTTACATAATATAGTTTACACACAGCTGTTTTATCACAAAACCATTTTGAAAATACCAGTTCTTACTGGAAGTAATGTAATTACAGAATTCTAAAGAGTTGTATTGTCACAGTATGTTATAAGTCAAGGATATTTAAATACTTTTAAAGAGCCACCTACGAGAGAAGTTAAATACACACCTGTATATCGTGCCTTAGCAACGCCATCTAGCTTTGAGTAGCAACAACACTTACTAAAAATGCATGAGCATCTAATATCTAGACGAGCAATAAACAAAAATAATCAGAATCTAAAAAAATAGCTTCAACTGTCATAACATTTAGCATGCGGGTTTTGGAGGCAAAAATTCGTCTACCAAAAAAATGAACGACCAGGTCTTACTATTTCAGCCCACGAGAAACGCCCGTAATCTGTCTATCTGTATTTGTAAGTCAATTAGACTACAGAGGACGTTATTTTGTGTTTCTAACATTTTCCAAATATGATCAAAACTTTTTTTAGCACTGGAGGGCATGATTTGTTCACACAATGAGCCCGTTTCCGCATTAAAAAGAAGTACCTGAAGTAATATCTGGTATAATAGTTGAATAACCGAGTTCTTAATAAAATCTAATACACTTAACTTAAAAATTTGACAATTATGGATCAACTCTGAAGCCACCGTAGGCCCGAGCCTAGGGCGGCCAATAATTGCATAAAATATAGTACGGGATGAGGTCAATTTTTTAAGTAGACGTAGCAACACCAAGTAATATTGATACGGAGGGCAGCGGAGCGGTTCGTCTACACATTACTAGATGGCGTTATGCGCTAATGAATCGCGCTAACACTGTTGAAACTACCTGTGTGATACACACCGGATCACATTGGGGAAGGAAGGGACGGGTAGCTTGTTTTAGAATTTTTAGTAATGCCTCGAATACACCGGTAGGGTCGAGGAAACATCTATAACATTCTAGATGTGGCATCGGCCCTATAAATACGCCTACGCGGTAGACTGACTACCGGTCCCGGCATTCTTCATTGAAAAATATACGTATCAATATCAAGTAACCAGCACAAAATTGAGCTTTATTGTTCTTACATAAGAGTTAAATTCGCTTTGGCTTTAGTTTTGTGAAATTAATTATTTATCAAAAGTAGTCAGTTTTAATATCGGTGATTAGCGATCTGTGGAGCTATTCCATAAAAATCTGAACCAGAATTCGAATTCACTCATGTCAATGAATCATCATTGATTATATTAATTTTATATACGCGCTTCATTTAAAGTGTTTGTTAATAAATTAACTCATTAATTAATGAGATAATTTTGCTTAGCATTTAGTCTTTAGTATGTTAATTTATTTTAATTGTTTTGAACAACTCTGGTACATGTCTATTCTAAATAATATGATGTTAACAATGTGATTTTTTTTTATTTCATTCAGAAACAAATACAACTACATTTTTTAAATCAGGGTTCGCAAAAATGTGATATTTATAATAAATATCAAAATAATCAATTTTTGATATTTATCCAATATATATTAGATATATTCATGCTTTAAAATCAAAAATGTAAAATAATCTTTGTTCGTTTATTATAAAATAATGAAAACTTAGCATGCCTCTGAGGATTTCCAGTAACATATAGGAGAAAACCTAGTAAAAATTTCTAGTAAGATTACTATAAGAATCATTGTGTAGTGGCCATCCATGTGATATTGGCGGAATTGTGCGAAAAGTGCATTTGAGCCATTGAGAAAGAAAGAAAGATTGCTACTTCAGGCCAATGTTGCTAGCATCACATTGGGTTAGTTAATTTTCTAGCTGAGATTCAATACTTAAAGTAACAATAACTATCATTAATATCAATTGATATATATCAACATAGTCAAGAAACTTACACAGTGCATAAATTACGAAAACTAACAATGGGATGGCTAATATTATATGGCTTAGGGCGACCAAAAATGCAAATCTGCCACAGAAAATTGTTATGTTTTACCCATTTTAAATTTAGTTATAAACTTCACTCAAGAATATAAATGAGTATGCCTTCAATAACTCAAAATAGATAAAATATACAAGACAATGGATATCGTAAAAATTTAAGTTTTATCACAAGAAAAACCTATGCATTTATGCTACCTATTGAACGTCAACAAAATGCAAAATCACCAGAATAAATACATTTTCCAAGGAGATTTAATTATTCATGAACATCAATATGTAATGCGGAGACAATAAAACAGATTTAAAACTAGGCTTTTACAGACAAACACATTTATATGCCTTACTATACACATACCAGTTGCAAAATTTTAAATGGAAATATTTGAATTTGGAAAAGTCCATAGCGAGCTTTATGCAAAACTTCAGTTATTTTTAAAACGTTTCATTTTTAGGTATTGAATGACATAGAAATATAATTTGATTTGACATAAAAACCCCATTCATAATCTAGTCAAAACACACACTGACTAAAAAATACTCACATAACAGACACTACGGTGGCATTTCAAACATAACAGTGTTGTTTTAAACAATGAAAACAACATAATTACGGTATTACACACAATGAAATGTTTTGGCTACAACTTATTTACGAATCAGACCCCCCACTACTAGGTTATAATGATAAAGCAATTCGTCATACCGCATATCAATGTCCAAATTTTACACAAATATAAAATTAATGTAGAGAAAAAGGATTATTCACCTATTTAGTCTTGATTTTGTGCATGGCAGTTATCACCGCCGTGTTTTTAATAGCGTACGGGCTGTGGTGACAGCGGCGACATGATAAGTAGACGGATGATGATTGTTGGAACTTTTGGGACGTTTGGATGAAATAGGCTTGGGCAGAAACAATCGATATGTCAAAATATCGATGTTAAGTCATAAAATACTTGATAATTCGCTAGTCGCAATGTGGAAGTATTTAAAAATAAAAGAAAGCACCAAAAATCACCTCTACTAGATGGCGCATCTAGCAAAAGTTGATTTTTGCAGGAAACGATTGGATCAAAGACATTAATTTCCGTTCCTTTTAACTAACATATAAAAAAACTGAAATTTGCAAAGTTCAAAACGTAGATATCAATACAAATACGAAAAAGTTCAAATAGAAACGAGGTGTTTGTCGAGTTTGAAATCTAATTTCCTTATAAATTTGAAAGAAAACCGGAAGGGTTGTCATGGAGAAATTAAGAACGTACTGTAGCGATATCTAGTTTGATTTCGAAAATTTTTTTTTTTAAATACTTCCTCATTTACATCTCTAATATTGGTTTATTTTTTCTTCATATTTTCCTACTTGGTCAGAGAAATGTAGGTAACGAACATTTATTTATCATAGATGTGTGTTTTTCCAAATAAAGAATTTTTTTTTTTAAATATTGCTACTTATGAGCACCCTAATGTACTCTATCTAAAAATATTATCGTTTTTATGAGCTTTGTTACTCCTTTGTTACTACCTTTGTTACTTTATTAAAATTTATAAACATGACAGGATTCCATAGATAGTGAATGACCACGAAGTGAATGCTAAACGCTGAATCTCCTTCGTTGCTCATTCACTTGCGGAGACTGAACACGATATGAATATTATATCGATTAACAGTATCGGTTTATTTTTATAATATCAATGTTCCAACGTTTCGAATTCGAAGATAGATATATCGACCTTGCTTGTTACATTTAAAGTGGCGAACATGTAAACAAACATCTAACTCACCAGAACTATTTACAGAGTTTTTGCAATGACGAAACGACGAAATGCAATCGAAGCTGATTTGTTAACTTGGCTTATCAATATTAACACCATTTTAAAAGACACTTTTGAGAAATAAGTAGTAAAATCACAGTTTTCACGAAAATAATACATTTTAAACAAACAATTGGCGACACTGACAGTTCGAAAAAAAAGGAACTAGTGATGGGAACATATAAATGAGTGATTGAAAGAGCAACTCATTCGGAAATATTGAAATAATTGATAAAAAAATTTGGTATTATGTAGTAAATCTATATCAAAATGTCTTTGGCGTAAAAAAGAATACTAAATAAAATTAATAAACTAATTAACATCTTCAATGAAATACGTATAAATTTTGTACGGAAGCTGGACCAAACGACGCAAAGGCGAACAAATATGTGGGGCTTGCGGCAGCAAACGCCGAATCTCATGCTGTCCGTTTGTTAAGTCTGGACTATGGTTGCCAACTGTACTATAACATATAATTTTGTGGTAAGGTGTATTTTTAAGATAGGCTATCTCACTTAAGAAACTAAAGTACCATAAAGTAGTCATCGAGCAAAAAAATTTTCACACTGAAAGTGAATTGTCATGATAGATAATTTGTATATATAAAAATAATCAGCGATCAGGAAAACATAATTTTGTCATATTTTAAAGTCAGAGCGACTAGACTGTCAATTTCAAGGTAAATAAATTTCTTGCAAAATAAATGGTTTAATAAACATTAAGGATATATGCAGATGATGTGCAAATTTTTCCTCAGGCCTCAGTTGATGATATCAATGAGCAAATCGCTAAGCTTAATCTTGGTCTTGTAACTGTCCAAAAAGGAGTCAAGCCTACGGCATCACCGTTAATCCTAATAAATCGCAAGCTATAAAGTACTATGAAGAACATACAGGATGTTAGGAAATACATATATAATCCCGAAACATGGCACAAAGAACACAATTAATATTTAAAAAAACCAATTTCACGTAAATTGAGATTTTCATACAAATATTTGAACAATTTGTTTTCAATTAATATGCTACAACCCTAAAAGCTAATACGTGCCGTCCCGGCGTACTCGCTCTCTCTCTCTCTCTCTCATTACCTCTCACTCTCTCTCGTTTCCTAGAATACACTTTGATGTCGCCGACGCGCGCACTCGACTGCGTATGAGTTTACTTGTAATTAAAACAATTTAAGATTAAACAGGTACATACCTAGAGGCACGTTCTAATCACTCTTTCAGCTCTCACTTGACAACATTACCTACACTTCACCTCCACTTTATCAGTCCAGGGTCTCGATATGCCGGCCACCGCATAAAACACACATATCCATTCGACTCGACACAGACCGTGCTACTCTCGACGTAAAATCATATCCTGTCTCGATGGAATAGGTGTTCGGCCGGCCTTCCTGTGGCACACTATGGAATGAACCATTTGTATGTAACCGATTCACAAGTGCTGCGAAGTACCGGTAAGAAGATCTTCCTGACACGTGGCGCTCGTCATAAAGCCGCCGAGCCGCAGCAAGATTACCGTCACAAGCAACATCACATTATCATCTCATAATATTAAGCATTTGAATACAAACTCATTGCACTGACCGCACACAAACACAACACACAGGTAAACAAAACGAGTATGAAAAACAAACCAAAAGTCCCGAAAGAACGAAAACGTAAGTACACCTTCTAAATTCTGAAAACTCACAAGTACGCCGATGAAAGTCTCGGACGCGACTGAAGCGATGACCAAAACTACATAGGTAATTATTGCAACTCGAACAACAATGTACCAAAATCAAAAATGCACCGATTTAGGGTTCCGCGTCATCAAATTCTGTGTTAGGTAACCTACCTAACAAAAAATCGTTATTTTTTTTTTATTAAACAATGAAATTTCAAAGTAACTTATTATCAGAGGTCGGAATTAGGTAGAGTTATTTATGTACTTGCATCAAAATGTTGATATTAATGTGGACCTTCCCGGGATTTCTAATATACAATCCCGTGTAGCCAACAATCTTACAACTAAATAATAATAACAACGTCAGAGATAAACAAATAAAACAAAGATAATTAACATAAAAAAATTATTAGTTTGCATTAATTTACAATACAAATTGATGTAAGATGTCATTGATGTAAGTTTGGCAACGTCGTGCGTGCAGTAGTTTAAATTGTGTAAAAGTAAATAACTTTTTATTTAAAAAAATCGCGAGATTTTTTCTGTTCTTTAAAATTAATCTCGGGATTTGAGGCATATCCACTTTATTCTTTCGCTGTATGAAATCAGTGTCCACTGCTTATTATACTATTTTTTAACTGACGAAATTGATAATTAGGCTGTTTACTTATTATTACAATTTTATTTACGCTTTTCACGGTTACAAAAGAAAAAAAGGCCATAATATTAAAAGTGGTTACCTAATTTAAGACCAAGTCATTAACAAAATTATAAGGCATAAAAAAAATATTGATTAAATTAGAAAAGAAAAGAAATATTATTTATTATCAGACCTTTCCATTACAACTAACCTTTATTTAATTATCATTTAAACTAAAAATAAGCGAGACATGTAGATTATTTGTTCAGTAATTGAAACATAAATATAACTTTACAAATTTACTCCTCTTTTTTATAATTATTACAAAAGTGATTATATATAAAAAGGAATGATGTGGTGCGCGCGCCCTCTCGCGCCAGCGTCTCGGTGTGCAAGAAGGTATTGTTCGGATCTCGTCCTCCGGCTGGCCTTAGTGGCGAGGCGGACAGGTTTCCTCCCCCCGCGCTTCTTCGGCCCGCGCTGATAGACGGGAACGGCGCGAACATTATTAATATCATTGTATTTTATTGTTTCGTGAAAATAACACTGGTTTATGCAATAAACTTCAAAGCAATTAATCTACAGAACCTTACCGACACATCAGAAACCCGAATTTCTCAATACACATCGTCGTCGATTTTATGTCTTTGTCGCTCCTTTTTGCATAGACTAATGTGAGCAATAGTGCAGTATCTAACTTCAATCAAAGTATTTGCAATTTCTTTTTTATTTTGACGGTATTATTAGAGAAGTTTTCTTAATAATACTTTTTGAAACACCGTTAATCACAAGATTGGTGTTTTTTTATGGTTAAAAGTCATTTACTACTAACTTTTTCTTTGTTTTTGAAATAATAAATTACTCTCGGATGTATATTTATTCTAGGCAATTATCTTTAGATTTATTTAACTTCTGTTATTTTTGAAACTAGTTCGGCACATGGAGTCGATGACCAAATACAACACAACAGCTGTTTTTAGGGTTGTCAGCGTAGTTTTACTTCGAAGAAAAAAGGTAAATATCTAGGTCACGTGCTGGGTTTCAGACTTAGTGATCATTTTTCTGGGTTCTATTCATCATACCGTATGTGCCATATTAGGGATTATACAGGTATTAACAAACACGCTGTATAACCAAAAATTAACAAGTTTGAAAAACTCACTCGAGTAAACGCATGAGTCGAGTGGCATCACTACGATTAACTATCAATTTTTTTTCTGTTATGTTTTTTCAAAAAATGATTTATCAATAGTAAACTTATTGTGAGCCTACAAATTGCTGTTTTTGTGGTTCTTTGCTCCACTATGCTGATAATTCAATAGTTAATGCAAATGAAAGTTTTAGAAATATAACCTGAAAAAATGGCTGAATCAGAAATGTATTTCTCGGACACGGCTCTCGACCCTGATACAACATGCAGTATATGTTATGCAGAATTTTTAGATGCCGAAGACCTATCAGTACATATAAACCAAGTGCATCCGGGAGAACTGACAAAGTTTTCAGTGAAATGTAATTTTTGCTCTTTCTTCTGCAGAGATTTAGAAGATTACGCTTTTCATCTAAGAGATAATCATATAAGTGATTTGAAATGTTGTAAATATTGCAATAGAGTGTTTGATGATTTCGTCACGTTCAGGAGACATGAGCAAAAACATAACATGGGTATGAAAAAGAATATTTACTCTTGTTCCAATTGTGAATCTGTTTTCACAACTATATCCGAGCTGGAAGAACATGAGCTTGCTTATCACCGTTATAGTGACCAAGGAACTTTTCTTCAGCATATTTTTCCATTGTTATCATCCATATTAAACATCAGAGTGACAAAATTTTTACAATGCTTAGGCGACTGCGACATCACATATATTTGTGGAGTCTGCGATCATACTACACCAGAAGTTAACGATTATATAGAACATTTAAAAGAGAAGAAATGTCGTTCAATAGTTTGTGATACATGTTCTTCTGTTTATAAAACAAAAAAGGGTTTGATTAGACATCTTGGTAGTTGTCCAGAATGCTACCACAGCTCATCGATGCTAAAACAGTGTCTGGAATGTTTTAAAGAATATGAAGTGAAAACGTTAAAAGAACATGTTAAGATTTGTAAACCTATTAAATGTAAAAAATGTAACATTGTCTTCGATAACATATTCAGCTTAAGTAAACATCAGACAGAAATGCATCCAGCTATAGTGCAACTTCAATCATGTAAATACTGCCATAAAGATTTTGCCGGAGTGGTAGCGATGAATAAACACATAGAAAGAGCACATCAGGGCCAATTGCACCTATATAAATATCATTGTGTTCATTGTGATGTTGTATTCAAACATCCAAAGTTTCTGTTTGGCCATTTCTTTTCCACTCACAAAGATTTAGAACCTTACACATGTAAAATATGTGACAAAAAGTTTAGGATTCGCAAAAAATTTACTCTCCACATCAAATTAGACCATAAAAGTATAGGTTATGTTGAATTTGATGAGAATTATCATGTTTACTTTAGTGAAACGAGATCAGTACAACCATCAAATAAAATTCTGACATCTGAAGAAGGTACTTTGCAGGAAACTCAGGGTGAAAAGCCGAATCATGCAGAATCGGAATCGCAAAAAAAGGATTCACCTAAGAATAGAGTTCATTTTAACATTGAAGACAAACAAGATAATACCAATTTTGATAATACAGTCAATTCTGATTTTTTTAGTGCAACAGAGACTGAAGGTAACCAGACAGAAGCTGATGTAGAAAAGACCCCAAGAAAAAGAAAAATTAAAAATAGAATCAACCAGAAAAACAAGAGACCAAAAACAATTGAGGAAGTTGTCATATCTGATTCTTCAGATGATGACCAACCTCTAGTCGCTATCAAACAGAAAGTCACAAAGCTCCGGAAGTCCCTTGCAGGAGCTAAAAGAACAAAGAACTCTGTAATATCAAAAATCATTAAAACTAGAAATAATAAAAATAAATTTGTATGTGATATTTGCAACAAACACTGTTACACATATCAAAACTACAATAATCATAAAGCCTTACATAAAAAAAATGTTGCTATGAAGTGTGTCAAATGTTCGAATGTTTTTAGATCAAAAAAGGCCCTTAATGAACATTACGCTTCTGAACATTCAACCTCAAAGTTGACAGAAACATTAAGAAATCTCCTGAACAAACGTAAAAGTATCAGTAAACCTATGGAATTGACTAAAAATCAGAAATTTAAGTTGACCATCAAAAAAGTTGCTATACCGAGATCTGAGCCTGCTATCATAACTAAAGCTGGTGAGAAACCTTTGTCTGTTCAAAAGTTTATAGAGAACTTCACACCAGAAGCTGAGGCTCCAAAAAAAGATAATATTAGTATACAAACAAATATAACAATAAAAAAAATTCAAGGTCCTCCAAAGAAACCATTGATTACAATGACTAAATGTAACTTAGAGCAACCGAAGACTTTTAATGGACAACTAGCTTGGCCAGTACCCTTTAAGGGTACGAACGAAGTCCATCAAGTTACCATTAAACCTGTTATGACTTCAGCCAACAAATCTTTGGGAGATAGGGTAAGCTTATTGGATAATCAAGAGAGTTATCCAGATGAAGATATAGGAGACATAGGGGATGTAGAACAAGATAACAATGAAATGATTCCAGAAGTTGCCCAGGAGGTTATGTTGGAAGGTACTGAAGAGCCACCACCAAAGATTTTTATACCACACAAGGTAGTGATCCCTAAACTCCCAACTGAATGTAAGAAAATACACATAGCACATTTGCTACCTGAAGCACCGTTCTTTAAGATAGTTAAAGTTGAAGATGCTTTAAATCCCAAGAAGAAAAACGTTCCTGCACACAAGAAAGATATAAAATTACCAGATGGTACCACATTAGTTAGTGTGAATCCATTAGCTCATCTGTTAGGGGATACACCAGTCGAGAAGATTATGGAAACTTCTAAAAATAAACACTATCAACCGAAAGCTAAAGACTTTGAAACTGCAGTAGCGAAGGCCATGTTGAAGTTGACGAATTTGGATGAACCGTCTCCGAAAAAAAGAAAGAAACTTAAAGGAGTATAAAATTGTGTTTCCTTGATGTATTTTCGAGTTTAAAGACTATTTATGTTATGTTGTTAAGATAAATAATATATCTCATAAAAAGGAGTTACAAATGTTGATTTAGGTACATTAAAAAAGTTTGTAGTCACACTCCAAATTGATATTCTGTATTGTGTTATCATTAGAAAAGATTATTAAAACTACAATTTCCGCAGCTAGTTAGTTTCAACTCTATTTATAAAGTATTAAGGTTTAAATTCATATGATATTTGTATCAGGGATCGCAAAAATCCGATATTTATAATAAATATCAAAATAACGGATATATATTATGCATATGAAAAGCCACGATTTTAAGCTGGTTTTATTTAATATTTGGTCTTTTAAATCAAAAGTGTAAAATAAAGATTGAGTTTGATTTATTTAATATTTGTTAAATAACACAAACTCCTGAAACGATAAAAAAGTAGCTGTTCTTAATTGGCGTTCATATTACGGGGACAACCCGAGATTTCTAATAAGTAAGATTGCTACTTCGAGCCAATGTTGCCAGCCTCACAGGATTGGTTATTTTCTAGCTGAAACTCAATACTCTATGAACTAACAATAAATACTATATATATCAATCGATATCTACTCGTATCATGCATGATGCATATCATGATATTTATCAGCGAACCCTGATTTTTAAAACTTGATGCCCTGTTGACAGCTTAAAATGTCAAAAATATGAAATACATGTGATGTTACTGGAAATTTTTGTATTAGCTCTTATTATATTTGGTGCAGTTGAAATAACATAAGCATACTACAAAAAGCATAGTCTCCCATATATCTTAAGCTTTAATAATTTTGGTCGTTAAGTTCATATTTTATTGCCAGATGTGTATATACAGAAATATTTGTTAGTGCATATTTTTTTCCTACTTAGCATCCGAATAGAATGGACATCTATGAAGATATTATTTTATTAATATGTTTTTATTAATAAGTGCTTGAAAAATTAATATAATTCGTAAAAATTTTGAAAATTGATGAACATACGCTGTGTGGTAGCGAATAAAGTGACAAGCGCTTGAAAAATTCATCAGTTCTGTTAGGTAGCTCAGTGCTTAGTCTGGATTGCAAAAGCTCGTGGGTTCGAGTACCATCTCGGAGTACCAGGATTTTTTTTATTTTTTAAGCATTTATCATTAACCTGAAAATGTAAATAACTAGCTTTACGCCAGCGGCTTCGCCCGCGTGGTCCCGTATTATATATAGATTTATATATAGGGAGGAACAAAATGACCGACACAGCCGAAAGTTTCAAGTTAGGTTACATGCAAACGTTCATTTTATTTGACAAATATTTAAAAATAGAGGAGGTGTAAAATTGGAGTAAAAATTTTAAATTTCTAAGTATTGACAGCCCTTTAACGCGCATGCGCAATATCGATTGTGCGCAGATTACAACGGACCACGAAATACATTAATTTAATTTAATTATTTACCGATATCTTAATGATAGTCGATGCTGAAAATGTTCAATTCTTCTCTGAAGACAGCTAAGCACGCTCTTTTGCATACCAGTGTATGCACGCGCAAAACGCATCACATTTCACACAAAATTAAACACAATCTTCACTAAACTAAACTTAACACCCAAGACGAACACTCTAGCATCTTATTAACAAAAATTCAATTAAAAATGCAACTAGATCAAGCGGTGCGTCGGCTTCGATGCGCAACAACACTCCAGCGCAAAAGGTCGGCGGCGACTGAGCGGCCGGACAATACCAACAGAATAATGAAGTCGCCCGGCGGCTGGCGGGTGGGTGGGTGGGGCTTTGATATTGAGGGACGAACTCGGTTCATATTTTTTTTATTCATCTTTTGATATCACGCATTTTTTAATGTTCTTTTTAAATGTTATTTTAAAAACAAATTCCTCAATGTTTTTAAAACAAAGTTCATTTGTGTTAATGATGAATCGCTGGAAGATTTGTGAGTTTATCGAGTTTAATTAACGATCCCGTTGTTAAAGGAGTATTACTCCATTCAAACAATTTTTATGGAGAACTGCTCTTTTAAAATAACGTGGGTTAATGTTAGACTGATCTCTCTACAATAATTTAGGAAATTTTACACTCGGTTTCTTAATTGAGTATTTAAAGTTAAACGTCACAAACTAATATCACTTAGTTTTCGTTTCCGATTTTAGTTTTTTGATGATCAGTTGATAGCAGTTTGATAAAACTAAGACTATTTGACTTGTGAAATTAAAAAACTTAGGTTATTGAGAATAAGCAGTAGAAATTTTATACTTTTTTCAAATCATAAACCGGCTGTTAGGCTGTAAATCGATTTAAGCATTTTGACTGCCTTGTTTATTGAGTGACAGGTAGAATTTGCATGAAAGCAGTCTTATAAATCACAAAGTAGTTTATTTCGTTTTTAGAAATGAAGAAGTCAATGACCGATTTAAAAGTTTTCCTTAGTACGTCCCAAAAACAGCTGACTCAGGGTTGAAAACACTTATTTTTTTTCAAAAACTTTGTAATTTAATATCTCAGAAACTATTTGACCTAGACTTATAATTTTTTTTACATCATATAAAAGACAAATAGTACTCTCCAGGAACCTCGGGAGAGTCGGTCGTTCTGTTCCACCGAGTATATAATACGGGACCACGCCGGCGAAACCGCCTCTTGTAATATACTTCACTCTGTATATTGATGAAAGTTGCGCTTAAATCTGTTGAATGTAAAGCTTAAAATCAACTTTGTTTTATACTATGTATAAAAGTTCTATTTAAATAATTGAAATATATTAAGTCCAAAACTTACGAATTAAATAAAAACCATATATCATTTATAGTCTTTTAATTGTAAAATATACAATTTTCAAATCGTTCTCAAGCCTTGAAAATTATAATGATTCAAAACATCCAAAAATACATTGAGCGCCATCTTTGATATTATATAAACTCGTGTTTCATAATAAAAATCATTTAGTGGTATTGAGAATCCCTTTACACAAGTCTGTTGAAACATCCTGTCCTGTTCACACGATCGTTGAATCCCATCGCTTGAAGACATTCGATGGCGTCAAAGATTGCCAATGCATTAAATTCTTCTTTGATTCGGCTTTTAATAAATGGCCTAAATTATACATTCGAATTTCGCAATTGCTATTGACATACCTTTTATCGGAGCTTGCGTCTAAATTTGGAAATCGTCTGCATACATGTGATAGGAAGAAGATAGAGGAAGGGTAATTGAATTAATGTAGAAAGAGAATAGGAGAGGAGACAAAACACCACCCTGCGGAATTCCGGCTGTTGGGTCGCACCAATATGAGAAACGGTTTCCCACAGAAATGCGCTGCCGTCACCCGTACAGGTAATTATGAGACCAATCAACTACCGGTGGAGATACATTATGGGAATCCAACATTGTTATCCACAGATGTTAAAAATTCACAGAATCGAACGCATTACTAAAATCTAACAGCTTTAATACAGTGAGCTGTTAATTTTCCATGCCTTCGCATATTTTCACAATGCAATTTTGACCGGGACGGCTACTTGATGGATATGGGTTGTGCACGTAGTTCAAAGTAAGGAATCTACCGAACTATTGATGGATTTTTCAAGAACTTTAAGATGAAGGGCAATATGGGGATAGGACGATAGCCAGAAAAGGAATCAGGCTTGGGCTTTTTGGGTATAAGAAGAACATTAACCTCTTTCCATGCCTTGAGGAAAATACATGACGATTTTTGGGTATAAGGAGAACATTAACGTCTTTCCATGCCGTAGGGAAAATAGACTTATTAACGAAATAGATTTATTAACGAGTCTGGTAATTACAGGAGTTAGGTTATTTAGGAGAGGAACAATCATATTAAGACTAACGCGATCTCTTCCAATTGCATTAGACGAAACTGCAAGTATGTTCTTCTCAAAGTCACACTCGGTGAATTATTTAATGACAAAAGGATTAAAAGATGGTGTTGACAGCAAAGAAAAAGTGCTTAAAGTATTAATTTTGTGAACATTTAAAGCATTAATGTCAGTATTTGACGGAAGGGGTGGAGTTGTCTTTAGATTTACCAATACCAAGCTTACTAAGAAAGTTTATAGAGTAGGCAAAGGGTTATATCATACAGTCTTGTCTTCAAAATCGGCAAAGATTTCTATTTCATCCGAGATCAACCTTCAGAATATTCTCATTAATATCACTTCATGATACCATAAGTCTTTAATATACTGATATCTACTAAATTCTCGTCCACCTTTTGATTGGGGTGATGTATTAAATGTAACAATATACGACTTTTGACTGTAGATGACCAATGACATATGTTACATACAAACAACTGGTCACCACCATTGGCTTGCTTATGTACTGCCATCATATGAATTCTGTAGTTTTGCTAGAAAGAAACATATCGAAAATTAGTGTTCAAAATCATTATTAAGCAACTTTCGCAATGGTCAGTCATGGGATGGGTGACCGAAAATTATTATCTTCCGTGGGCATGTTAAGCGGTTGATCCGTTAACACCCACCAATCCGCACTGGGCTCGTGACTTAGATTCGATTCAAGTGGGGAAATTAATAAGTCGACATGGTTTTTGACATACCTTCCTACATATTACAGTATCACATTCCTTACAAACTCTTCTCTTCTTTTTATGAAGACTAAGTGCATTCAATTCGACAAATCTGAAAAGTAAAATTATTCAAAATTATTTTTTTTAAGCGACACAGCTTAGTCCAGTGAGTGTTTACAAAAAAAAGATTAAGGTTATTCCTTGCTTACTCGTTGTTTCACCAAAGATAATATTTAACTTTTATTTGCTTTTGTATTCATACAAAAATTTATGGCGAAGGAATCATAAACTGTACACTCACGATATAAAAAAAATATTCCTCTGTTCGTGGTTTCACCAAAACAAGATCATATGCTGATATAGAACCACAGTTTTGGGTCGAATTATTTTCATTTAATTTTTATACCTATATTGTATTTTATGCCAGGTCTATTCACTCACTTAACTGACAATCTAAACTCATAATCACCGTAAAAAGTGAGCAACTCTAATGTGCCAAAATGACTTATTCGTATTTTCTAACGTTGGTTCGCAATTTTAAATGTCAACATCGGCGATCAAGTCAAAATAATCTTTATTCAGATAGACTTCTTAAAAGTACTTCTGAATCGTCCAACATTTTTTCCCTACCGCTCGTTCGGGACGTGATCTCCACTGAACTTCATTTTGATAATTGATCTTGTATCTAAAAACTGCTATTTCGTATTCCGTAAGCATTAAATAATATATTTATAAATATGTACTCGTATATAGCAACTGGCTAAAGTTTGGTAATTTATTAAAATTAACTTAATGAATACCCAACCCGCCTGATTGTCGGTTGTCCACAGAAGGTCGGTTGCCAGAGTTACAGAATAAGGAGCTAGTTGTTTTAAATATCTGATATTGTGTCGAAAAACTGATATTTCGTATTCCGTAAGCATTAATGACCATGAAAGTGAACTTTAATGAATTATGTCATTTAAATAAAATATATGTGTATATATAGCAACTGGCTAAAGATTGGTAATCTATTAAAATTGACATAAAAAACACCAAACCCGCGCTATTGTCGGTTTTCCACAGAAGGTCGGTTGCCAGAGTTACAGAATAAGGAGCTAGTTGTTCTAAATAAATGTTTTATTATTATTACCTAGCTTCGCACATGTCACATGCGTATTTTTTGTGGGCCTGCTGTTTATGTCCACTTAAAGAAGCTGAATCCTTCGCTTTGAAATCACATTTGGGACATTTCAAATGACCAGAGTGCTAAAAAAAGAAATACATCAATATTTATTTATAATCCAATTGTTCTAATGAGAAAGTATTAAAAAAAATCGAAAGCACTAAAAAAGCACCTCCACTAGATGGCGACTCTAGCAAAAGTTGAATTTTGCAGAAAACGAGTGGAACAAAGACAGTCAATTCAGTACCTTTTAACTAACATATTAAAAAACTGAAATTTGAAAAGTTCGAAACTTAGATATCAATACAAATACGAAAAATTACAAATAGAATATCAGTTGTTTATTGAGTTTTGAGAACTCATTTACTTTTAAACATGAAAGAAAACCGGTAAGGTTCTCATGGGGAAATCAAGAACGTACCGTAGCGACATCTAGTAAGATTTCGGGAACTAATTTTTTTTTTAATACTTCCTCATTGTTCTAATAGGGACGATGACTAATTTTTGTTTGTTTGTCCGTCAGGTAGAGTGTTAAAAAATATTAAACACGTATTTTTTTATTTTTTTCGTAATCATAAAATTACGGCGTTACATTGAGTTGACATTTCGCATGAGGTCACGTTAGAGTACGTTTTCTACTCAACTGTGACGTAGCGAGCCCCCACTCCACAACTTTAATGCCTGTTATCTAAGCTATTTCTTGTTAATTTGAAGTAAAAAAAAATACGTATCTAATATTTTTCTATTATCTGACTGACGGACTAAATAGAATTGCATTTTTTTACCCAGTCATCATCCCTATTAATGTTAATAAAGATGATACCTGGATAAAGAAAAAGAAATTCTATTTAGTCCGTCAGCTAGATAAAAGAAAAATATTATATTCGTATTTTTTTTTTTGTTTCAATTTATAACAAGAAACAGCTCTACGATTCTTTAAAAATATGAACCCGAATTCACTTCAAAAGCGGCATCCGCTCAACCTTGAATTTGGTTTTTGTTTCGTGGCATAAGTGAAGTGAGTTTCGTAATGACATGGGAATAGAATATCTAAGACACGTATAAATCAATCAATGTTGTTTTTATTATACAAAACTAGCTACCCGCCAGCGGCTTCGCCCGCGTGCTCTTGTATTATACATTAAAACCTTCCTTTTGAATCACCCTATCTATGAAAGAAACCGCATCAAAATCCGTTGCGTAGTTTTAAATATTCAAGCATACATACGGATATTCGGACAGAGAAAGCGGCTTTGTTTTTTCTACTATGTAGTGATGGAATCGATAGTATTTATATAATAAATTACGTGAATTTGGACACATGACCGAATTAGAATTCGGGTTCGTATTTTTATAGAATCGTCCTGCTGCCTAGATAATAAAACTACAATGAAATCCATTTATACATTGAAACGACAAATATGTCAACAGCATATGTATTTTTAGAAAATTAACAACTTCCAGTTCTTGATGGTACATGAATTTCTCAATAAAGATATAATCAGACAAATATTAAATAGTATTGTTCATGTGCGTATACAAGTCATGATAAGCGTCATGTAAGTGTGCACGGAATCTTATAACGGATTTTTTACAAAGCATTTTATATGATAAGGGGCCGTCCATTAATCACGTGAGGCTCGAAAGAGGGGTGAGGGTTTCGTCAAAAATCACGAAATATGTAATAGTATAAGTATAGCATAGGTTGATGGAGGGATGGGGTAGTCTCACTCAAAACCTCACCATGTATCACCAAGGGGTAAGGGGGGTCAAAAAATGTTGAAAAAAACATCACGTGATTAATGGACGGCCCCTAACCACAAACTTAGCTCTGTTATTAAGTCATATTAAGCGGTTGGCCAATATAAAAGGAGTCATATTAAACTAGAAAATGTACAACTGTGTGACGTCATTCGACATATCAGACAGCATAACCGTAATATACAGGGTTATGGGTAATTAGACCGGATCCTTTTAAGGGGTCGTAGGGGAGGTCATTTATAATCACCCCACATTGTATATCCGAAAGTTACAACAACAAAAAACCTTTTTTTTATTTAAAACACTGTAGTTCCTGTTTGGGTCAAGATTATTTGGGTATTATTATTATTTATCACGAACTGGAATGTTATCTCTCCAAAACTGTCAACAAAATTTGATTCCGACCATAGTTTAATTCTTTTACGACGTTTTTAAAGAAAAAAATAAATAAATGCAATTTATCACAAAAATGGCTCACTTTCCGATACATAATGTGAAGTGAAAATAATTGTAAATGACTGCCAGTACGATCCCTTAAAAGGATCCGGTATGATTACCCATAACCCTGTATAGATAAAGCAAAAAAATAAAAAATACGTATTCATTAACCTACCTGACGAACAAATACAAATGATTAATATAAGCTCTTGTATTATACATAAAAACCTTCCTTTTGAATCATCCTATCTATAAAAAAAACCGCATCAAAATCCGTTGCGTAGTTTTAAAGATTTAAGCATACATACGGATATAGGGACACAGAGAAAGCGACTTTGTTTTGTACTCCTGATTATAATGCATCTGTGAGCTCACCGTTTGCGAGTGTGATTGCAGTGAACGCTCATGCTTCGCTATGAAATCGCACTGTTTACATTTCAAAGGGTTGTCGGGTCTGTGTATTGCTTCATGTTTCTTTGCGTTCTTCTTTGACGCCGACCGGTACGGACAGAAGCGACATTTGAACGGTTTAAAGCCTATATAAGAAATTTTATCTTATATTAATAGTATGACCTGTATGGACAGAAGCGGCATTTAAGGGTTTAAAGCCTATATAAGAAATTTTATCTTATATGACCTGTCATTATCAGGCCTTTTACTTCTCCACTGCAGGGGCTCAGGCCTTCCTTATGGATGGTTAAGTATGGGCCCAATGCGGATTGGAGGGTATTAACGACTGCAAATGCAGGTGGTACCGACGGCTTAACGTGCGTACCAGGAGCTCGAGATAATATTTCTTTTTGGTCACCCATCCCGTGACCGACCTTTGCGAAAGCTTAACAACAAAAACATGCCACTTGAATTAAATATTACGGTTGTGTGTTATAATTATTAATGTGTTACTAACTTTTAATAATAATATTTTTTTTGGCCCGATTCCAAGATGAGTAGCTAAAACCCCCGTATTATGGAGTATCTGAGACAACGAAGCTACCACAACACCCAGACCCGAGGCAATTATAGAAAAGTTAATTTTTTACATTGACCCAACCGGGAATCGAACCCGGGACCTCAGAGATGGCAACTTGAAACCGGAGCGTGAACCATAGGCCACGGTGGTCGATAAATAAAAAAAAAAAGCGTATTACCTTGATGTATTCTGACGTGCTCCTCGAATAAAGGTTTGTTATACGTCGAGTAAGAGCACATCGTGCATTGAAACGGGTTCTCACCCCTATGCACTTTACGTATGTGTCTTATCAAACGGTCTTCCATTGTGGTGTTGTACGAGCTATATAAAACAATGAGTTTTTATTCAATGGCTATTCTGTTATATTATAGATGAGCGGTTTCTAACAATAGGGTAATAGCCCCCTTCGTTTTTGAAAAGTTTAGAATAGGACCCATTGCTATAAAGTAATGAGGAAGTATTTTAAGAAAAAAAAGAAAGCATTAGCGTTGTGTACCTCACTCTTTTTTAATGAGGATGAGTGAGGACCTCATTTTCCCTCGTGAGGGGCTCGCGAGTTACCCTTCATTTGAGGTGAGGATAGGTAATGTTATAGAAGCAGTGAATGAGTACGTAGCGAGGCGCGCGCAACGTTGCCGTTTGGAACAAAATGAGGGAGGGAGTCGGTAATGCTAAACAAAAAATATTTTGTCTTTAGATTCTAAGAAATAAACTTTATTAGATTATTATTTAACAGAATGACCACAACACGCAACTTATTTTCAATAGTTTGACACTAGTATGTTCCATTTTTAAAATATATTAATCATTCATATTTCGAATCGAATAATAATTATTAATTAATCGATTTTAAAAAAGAAACAACAGAATATAAATATATTTCTAAATAAAACCGATACATTTCTCTTACAATGCCATATAGAAATTAACATACATACATAGACTCATAAGCCCATTACCCTCCTTTGCGCTGCGCGGGTAAAAATACCTTTCTACCTTCAGCGCATTTCATTCTGATAGATGATAGATCATTTTAAACTGTAGTTAAAAAAAAAAACTATTGCTTACCAAGGAGTGCCGTCAATTTGTTCTGTGCAACTAAATATTGACTTTTTTTCTACGAGCTCTGGGACATTGATCTGTGAGCCATCACCATCATTATAAACTTCTTGCGTACTGTAAAATATACATATTGTTTTATTATCATAGAGCAGTGGCTTAATTTTTTAATCAGGAAGTATTTTAAGAAAAAAAAAAGAAAGCACTTTTGATTTTTGCAGGAAACGAACGGACCAAGGATAGCCATTTCCATTCCTTTTAACTAACATATTAGAAAACTGAAATTTGCAAAGTTCGAAACTTAGATATCAATACAAATACGAAAAAGTACAAATAGAATATAAGTAGTATATTGAGTTTTAAAACTAATTTACTTTTAAACATGAAAGAAAACCGAAAGGGTTGTCATGGAAAAATCAAGAAGGTACCGTAGCGACATCTAGTTTGATTTCGGGAACTAATTTCAAAAGGCACGTTAAGCCGTTGGTCCCGGCTGCATTTGCAGTTGTAATTACCCTCTAATCCGCATTGGGTCAGAGTGGAGGGTCATGACCCATCCTCCTTAACCATCCTTAAGGCAGGCCTGCAGTGGGGACGTAAAAGGGCTGATGATAATGATGACTGAATGTCCAGATTATATTTTATTGAATGATGAATCTAAAGAAATATAAAAGCGACCAATAAGATATAGCTCTCAGTTTTGATGAACAACTTCACACCACACACCACACCACCAGCCCTTTTACGTCCCCACTGCAGGGGCTCAGGCCTTCCTTATGGATGGTTAAGGAGGATGGGCCATGACCCTCCACGCTGGCCCAATGCGGATTGGAGAGTATTAACGACTACAAATGCAGCCGGGACCAACGGCTCAACGTGCCTTCCGAAGCACGGAGTAGTTCGAGATAATAATTTTTTGGTCACCCATCCCGTGACCGACCCTTGCGAAAGTTGCTTAACGACTACGATCGCGGGCCGCGGCGCTTATATTAGAACAACTTACCTTTGCATATTATTCGACTGTTCCTTATCTATCAATTGCTCGTCCAATTCAACAGTATTCATATAGTGAGTTTGACTCTCTGTGACATTCTCTTGAATACCTTGTATGCTGAAAAGAGATAATACATTTCTATATGAAGTATAATGTCAAAACCACAATCGAGTTTCCTGTAGTTGCAAAATGTAAATTTTTAGTTATATCGTGTTGCTGAACGTACATACAATGCCCATGCTACATCTCTTTCACTCGTATGCAAACATAACGCTATTGCGCTTGCACAGATGCATCTAGCTAACTTTGTCACAGTGAAGATAACTTTAAATGTTTACGATGTAGCCCCAAAGCAACCACACTATTTCTGTTCGGAAGGATCACTGAACCCAAAAACTGATTTAGTCCTAGTCAAATTGGTGGTGGCTGTTGTGTGATTTACTGTCGTTTGTACATGTGAATTTGTATTTGGATCGTGCACAGTAGGACTTAGTAACTATAATGTGGAAGCTGCTAGGTTGATACCTAGCATCAAGTAGAAGTAAGTTACTGGATTAGTTTTACAGTTACTTAATTTTGGATATTAGCAATATAGTATGTGATGTCTAATATGAAATCAGTTCATCATATACGTATATTTATGCTGTATCCCTTACAGAGAGGACGAAATTCTCTGTCGACCCCGTGAGATACACTACAAAATACAATCCTTACATACATCTTTTACCTCATCCACATTCTCTCTTTCATATATACGCCGGTTTTAATGGTTTCTGACATCATCTTAATCCATACTAATATTAGAAGACAAAAAATTTTACTATTAATTTGTATGTGTAGGTGTATAGGCTCTGAAACTTATAGACCGATTTTAAAATTTCTCTCACCTACAGGAAACTACATCATTTGCTGTGAACATAAGCTATATTTTATCACAAAAAACAACAAATAAAGTGATGAAAATGGGAGTGGAAGTTTGTATAGGGAATTAAAATGTTACCATAGTGACAATTGTTTACTATTCAATTTGTCATCTAATATGATTTGATATGATTCATATCATGACATGGATATTAAATATTTCTCAAACCAGGAACTGAATAAACATTTTTCTAGGGACTGTGTGGGTCAAGCTGCTAGCGGAAAGTCAGTTTAAATCATAAATGACATAGATCTACAAAAATATGGGGGGTTTGTGAACATACTGATTCACTACAGTTTCAGATGACTGCTGTTAAGTCTGCCAATGTAAAACACACCCAAAATAACATTACATACCATGCGTTTTCATTTGTTTCCACTATGTAGCCTGTTTTTGAGTTTTCCGTTACAGGAAATTGATATTCAATCGATGAGACACTGACAATCTGCATGTTTGGTGTTCTGAAATGTTAAATATTTATAATACAGGGTTTTTTATATATAACCAATATTTGTGCCAAGGACAAAGTGGATTGTTTGTGTATTTTTCATTTTTGTACCTTACTTATTTCAAGTCTTATTTTCCAAATTTATAAGTCAAAATGGTTCATATTTACAGAACATATAACAGAAACTTGTATTTCCAATTGCCGGATCATAATACTAACAGAGAGAAATAAGACGAAAGGTAGAAATATTGAATTAACATACTTACGCCGCTTTCGTTTCCGACCTATCATGTTTAAGTTTTTTCGCTGGATGCTGTTTGGGTAAATGTGAGTACACCCGAAAATTACCAGACTGCATTGAATATTGCCCTTGCTCAACATCTACGAAGATTGGGCCAGTTGTATTAGTTTCTGTCATTTTCACAAGATTAATAAGCTTTTCTTATTATATTTATTAGTGTTGTTCTTTTTAAAGATTTCGATTTCGATGAAACCTCTTTGATTTATTTACAATAATACTCTTTTTCTTTTTTAATTCATGGCCTATTTGCATACTATTTGCGTATACACAATTCCGCCAATGTCACGTTTGAAGTCTTTACACGTAAAGAAACAATAAAAAAAAAAACAATTTTAAATTTGAAGTAAATATCGGTTCTTCTTTTTTCGTTTCAATGAGAAAGTATTAAAATAAGAAAGCACTAAAAAGCACCTCCATTGAATGGCGACTCTAGCAAAAGTCTATTTTTGCAGGCAAAGAATGGACCTAAGATAGTAATTTCCGTTCCTTTAACTAACATATTAAAAAACTGAAATTCGCAAAGTTCGAAACTTAGATATCAATACAAATACGAAAAAGTACAAATAGAATATGAATTATTTATTGAGTTTTGAAAACTAATTTATTTCGCAGATTAACAATATGTAGCTAGCTTTTATACATGAAAGAAAACCGGAAGGGTTGTCATGGAGAAATCAAGAAAGTACGATAGCGACATCTTGTTTGATTTTGGGAACTACTGTTGTTTTTTAAACTTCCTCATTGCGATGCCTTGTGAGTAGTATCGTTGCTCGAAATTGCTCAAAATTGTGTCGGTATTGTCTCTAAACAAATGACAAATGTAATTGACGTTTGTGCAAAAGCGTAGACAGAGAAAGCAAGATACATCACTTTCAAATTTACACTGACAGTTGTCAAATGCTGCCTATTATAACATAGTCACAGAACAAAAGTACTCTACGAGAAGAATGCCAACTTCATAGAAAAATATTTTCCATAGAAACTAGCGCCACCTATAGTCAGCCCTCCGGAACAAGTAGTATGGCGGGAAGTTTAAATACTAGCTTTATACTTAGGTTTCATATTAACTACCAAATTACTAAAACCAGTGTTTTCTGTGAATATTTTTCGTATACGAAATCCATAACATACACAAATTCCACAAACGAAAAACATCCACAGGGAACACAGGTTTTAGTAATTTGGTAGTTAATCTAGGTGAAATATAGGGACTACTTCAAAAAGGGAATATAACACAAGCAGATTATAATAACATACTTTATTTTCATTATTATTGTAACATACCGCTTTATTACACAAATTAAGTGAATTTTGAACATACTGTTTTGTTTTTAACTTCATTTTAACACTGATTTACAAGCCTTCAGCATTATTTTAATGTGTGCACCAAATTATCAAGAAAATCATTTTGACACAGCATTCTACAATATGTTTGGTGCACAATTTCATTTGGAATTCTGTTGATGAATTCCGTCCTTTGTGGAAAATATATTTAGCCCACAATTCACATCTGAAAACAAATACAACGAAATTAAGAATGTTATATCCTTATAGTACAAGAGATAGAGCTACATTTTCCTAATAATTTTATAACAAACTAATTTAATTTATAGTTCATAATCGATAAACATCCTTAATCACCTTCACCTACAGCATCACTTTTATCAGAAATATCATAAAATTCTTTCATACAGATTAGCATGACATACCTAATACTGAAGCTCTTTGACTCAAGTCATATTTTTTACAACTAAATACAAGTATTTATGTAAATTCTAACGCTACTGCTAATAAAATACCTAACACTAGCACTACATAATGGGAATATTCTCTTGTTAAAATGTAGCGGAACTTCACGTATTATTCATTAGTTTGGAAATCTATAAATAGAAGATTAAAGCAAGTACCGTATAAGATTCCTTTTAGCCGGCTTCGGAAAACGAAAGAGCTTTACATTATGCTGGGTTGGCGAACGTCCACACTTAAAACATTTTCTTCTGTTTTCTTTATCAGCCATATTTTCAACAACCACAACAACAGAAAAGAGGCACTATCTCAAATTTCACAAATAACTATGAATCCACTTTCTAAGCACATTAAAAGGAGGAACAAAAGCTCATCTCGACGTTATAATGATAAGAAAATGCAGGAAATAAGTAATTGTGATGGAATCGCATGGAACAAGCGGGAACAACAACAAAACAAATTGCCATTATCGACACTAAATCAGTTACAAAAATAACTACTACTAATTTTAACAATGAGGCCTTCCAATTAATAAAATTAACACGATTGCAACTCAAAAAAAAATAAAAGTCAACTGTATTATTTACTTGACTTAATAAGATGTATTTCTGGATATTAAAAACTTGGATAAATATAATTTTTTGGTAAAAGACAACTATCAGAGACTACTAAAATGTGTGAAAGTAATAATATGAGGCAACACTGCAGATTCATTTCATTGCCATACTATTAAATCTTAGTTGCTAGTTAAAAATATGAAAAAATGCTATTATGAAAGATTATTTGGGTCTTTCATGATAAAATTTTGCCCCTCTAGGTATAATTTTACACTTATATGAAGTTACCACCCTCTGAACATAGTATTACAATCTTATAATAGATTACAATAACATTGTAATACCAGTTCATAATTTCGATACAGCCATTAGCAGAATATATCGATTTTTGGTAGTTCGGCTTTTATTTTTCTTTTACGAATCAATATTTAAGACTCCGATTTGAAACTGACACTTTTAAAGCCATCCACGACAGGAAATCAGAGTTCACTAACTAAACTAATAGCTTAAAATCATATTTACCATAAAAGTGAATAATTCCATTGTGTCAATCACAATCGTTTATTGGTATGACTTTTTGCATACAGAACTCTGTGAACAATTTATTTTGATTGTCGTCAGAGTAACAGAATAAGGGGGATGGTGATCTCTCGGAACGCTAAGACTCTTTAATTGCATTAGCACGAAATATGGCAGTCTTTGTGTAATATTAATTGAGTTCAAAGAAAAGGGTTATTATAGTACAGTTTTCATATAATAAAATTAAAACATTTCATAAAACGAACGTAAGTTACATGGTAAACTAAGCTCACTATGATGTATAATTATATATATTTAAGCTATTATATATATACTAGCTTTTGCCCGCGACTTTGTCCGCGTGGTAAAGTTACTTTCAGCAGCATTTCTAACGAATATTTATTCATTAAAAGTTGCCCGAAAAGTACATGACATAAACTTTCTTCCACTATTTTATCCCCTTAGGGGTGGATTTATCAAAAATATTTCTCAGGGTGAAGCTTACGTCATAGTAGCTTTATGCATGCAAGTCTCAGCCCGATCGGTTTAAAATTGAAAAAGTTCCATACAAAATTTCATCCCATATTTTATCCCCTTGGGGTAGAATTGATCAAAATACTTTCTTAGGGGATGCCTACGTCATAGTAGCTTTATGCATGCAAAATCTCAGTCCGATCGGTTTACAATTGACAAAGATTCTTACAAACTTTCATCCTCTATTTTATCCCCTTGGGGGTAGAATTGATCTAAATCCTTTGTTAGCGAAAGCCTACCTCATAACATCTAACTGCATGCCAAATTTCAGCCCGATCCGTCCAGTGGTTTGGGCTGTGCGTTGATAGATCACTATGTCAGTCAGTCACCTTTGAGTTATATATATTTTGGACTAGCTTTCGCTTGGTTGCCCCGGGCTGCGAGCATCCCGGGGCAACCAAGCGAAAGCTTCTATTCTGAAACGAAGGCGGACTTAAAACCCCATCGCGTCGTGAATTGATCTATTCTAATATCTGGCTACGACATCGGTTCCCTTTTCGTATAATAAATAAATCTTACATAAATAATGTAATGTAATAATGCAAATAAAATAAATACTATTTCTTGACATTTCATTGATCAATTAATGATAGTAACACTGATGGAAATATATGTTCGATTGTTTTTTAATACTATACAGTAATTTACTAATAAATAAGAATAAGAGAAAAAAAGACAAGACTTATTTTAAGTATCTATACAAAATTTATTTTAAGTTATGCTTGCGTTTTTCGACTGAATATTTCTTTTTCTATTAAGTGTCAACTGGCAACACTTTTTCATTGATGTGTGGTGCTTTGTGTCCTTTAACAGCTTTTATTTGAAGATATAACTTACTGACTTTTTCACCACGACGGCCAGATATTAGAATAGATCCGCCTTCGTTTCAGAATAGAAGCTGTCGCTTGGTTTGTTTTAGAGCTTAAAATCGCCTACAAAAAGTTAGTAAGTTCTATCTTCAAATGAAAGGTGGTTAAGTACACAAAATACCATACATCAAAGAAAAAGTACATGATAGTTTACACGCAATAGAAAAATAATTATTCAGTCGAAAAACGCAAGCACAACTCTAAATAAATTATAGTCTCTTATTGTTATTCAATAGTAAGTTTATATTTAGTATGAAAAAGGATCGAGTAGATATTTTCTCCAGTGTTACCTTAAGTAATACCCCAAATAAATAAATGTCAAATTTCAAACTCATACCTACGTAGAACACTTTCATTTTGAATATCAAAAGAACATGTTTTCTCAATAATCTAAAAGTATAGAAAAATATAATTAAGTATAAAATATTATGTCAAAAATTGTTTTTTTTTCTCCATACTTATATACATGTGAAAGTGTGGGTAAAGATACCTACAAAAATGGTCCATATATACACGCTATAAAGATCCCGAATTGTCAAATCCATCGAAATCAAAATTGAAATTGATATGGTCACAGCGCGGGCTCGATTGCTCATAGTCAGCCTTACACGATCATCTTTTAAACATTTTAAACTAAATGTTACCATCAACAAAAGCGATTCGTTTCTGGCACTTCGCCGGCCGCTGCCGCGGCACGCTCGTTACGCTCGCTCGGCTCGTGCGTTGTTTTTCATACACTAACCTAACCTAACCCATATGTTATAATAAACCTATACAAGTTTTTGTTGTTTTACTTATTACAAAGTTCTTGAGCATAAACGAGTCGCTTGTAGAATTGGAGCGGTGGGGTTTTAAGTCCGCCTCTTGTTATGTTTACAGTTTGAAATTGCCT